TTACCAGTAAACACATGAGCTTAATATGTGATGTTTACCAGTAAACACATGAGCTTAATATGAGATGTTTACCAGTAAACATATGAGCTTAATATGAGATGTTTACCAGTAAACACATTTACACAAATAATTTTACAACTTGTATTTAAATATGTTCCAGTAACACGGAACTGTGCTCCGTGCAGTTCTCCGGTAAATGTTTCTGAACGATTCCTTTAACACGGCTGGTTAAAGATAAAAGTGTCGTAGCTGACCAGAAGTTGCTCTTCATCTTCCTCCTGTGCCTTAAACCATCAAAGTCTTCGTCTTCAGTGTCAGACGTCGTCTCACGTCCTCCTCCTCCTCCTCGCTCTCTTACCTGAACTTACCGTACACAGGTAGCCTCATTAATGCACGTCTACCTTGGGGGGATGGGTCCTCATGACTCAGAGTACCTCACTGGTCATTCAGGTTAGACTTCTGGTCACATGACCACAGAGTGGAATTATGGGTATTTAGTAGCAAACCTGGAACCATGAACGAGAGGTACGTACCTGTCGTGAGTACCTGTGGCGTTCACTCTCTGTCACAAAAACCTGCCCCCGAGAGGAGTGGGTGTTGGGCAGCACCCCGGTGTGTTAAAGGAAAATGTTATCCGGTTACAGGAAGCACAGCAGCCTGTCAAAATAAAATATTAAAATAAAATATTAAAAGTTTAAAAACGTAACGTAGCGTCTTCTACACCGGTGATTACGGTACTTGTACCACTCACACATCAGCAGTCATGGATCATTGACCTCCACAAATTCATGACCCAGTTTAATATTTTAGTCCCGTTTGTTAAACTGGTTTCTCTTTTTCTACTTTGAGGACTTGTGTGAAAACCTGAAGATGTTTTAGGTCATGTTTGTGTAGAAATATAGAAAATTATAAAGAGTCCACAAACTTCCAAGCACCACTGTAGAAGACCAGAACCTGCTGGGTCACTGGTTGGCATGGTGGGGAGGGGCAGCACTTCAGATGGAAACGCAGAGCGAAAAGTAAGCCTCAGGCAGACCGTGTCTGTCAGTAATATGTCACCTGCTGCAGGTGTGTGTGTGTCACTCTGGTTTATTACATTTTATCTGTTGAACGAGTCAAAGCTCAGAGACAATGATCTGAGGTCAGGGGTCAGAGGTCAAGAACACTGTCAGCTACTTCCGTCTTCAGCTCAAACGTAGTCGGACGGTTTTTGTGTTGGATCAACTGCTGAGGCAGCCATCTTGAATCAGCCTGACTCCAAACGTTGATCAGATGAAGAAGATCATCCATCATTGATTTTGTTTTTTCCCACTGAGCTGCTGAACCACCAGAGGAGAGAGTTTCAGGTTCTGAAGCTGCTTCAGTGCTTTGGGGTTCTTTCTTCCCCGTTTTAAAGTTCTCACGTCTTCCTTTTTGGATCACTAATATCGCTGGTGTCCATGTCCAGAGCTCACTGTGCGAGAGGCGGAGAACATCCTGGACAGGTCTCCAGTCCATCACAGGGACACCTGGACTGGTCTCCAGTCCATCACAGGGACACCTGGACTGGTCTCCAGTCCATCACAGGGACACCTGGACAGGTCTCCAGTCCATCACAGGGACACCTGGACAGGTCTCCAGTCCATCACAGGGACACCTGGACAGGTCTCCAGTCCATCACAGGGACACCTGGTGACAATTTAGTTACCATCAGTCTAACGTGCATGTTTTTGGTCTGTGGGAGGAAACCGGAGTACCTGGAGAAAACCCACGCAGCACAGAGAGAACATGCAAACTCCACCCAGGAAGGTCCACGGCCGGGGTTTGAACCGGCAACAGCTCTACCAGCTGAGCCACCGTGCCGCTCGGTTTTAAAGTTGAATCACTGATTCAAACTGTGATGGTTGTAAATGTTCCCATAACTGTAGAAGGCTGAAGTTGTTACTACTTCTGTTTGTGCTTCAAAGAGTTAATTAATACACGGACAAAGTAAATTTTCAGGTGGGTCGTTTTTCTTTGCTTCAGACTTTAGACGTCACATTAACTTTATGACACAGATGAAACTGACTAAAATCTGTGGACCCCGAGTGTTAAAACCGAGCCCTGTTTGGACCTGCAGCTCAGATCTCGCATCAGAACCTTCATCATTCAGAGTTTGAACGGGTCACAGGAAGCTGTTCTCACGTCTTTGACACGCTTTGCACACGTGAACGTGGAGTTTACCACAGAACGATCAGGCCTCTCTGATGATGTCACACTAACTTCAGTTCTCTGAACTTTACAACAGTTTAACAAACTCTTCTTTAAAATATTATAATTCAAAAAACACTTTGTAGTCTTTGTCTTTTTTCCACCCAGTGTGATGGTTTTCTGTCAGGGGTCAGAGGTCACACACTCATTGACATTGTATCTGAGCTGAGGACCCTAAAACTTCCTCCAGTTTGGTTACATATATTTTTATGAACAGAATTAGAGAAAATCAGCTTTTGGTTGTTCAGAAGGAACAATGAAAGTGTTGGTTTTATTTTTTCTAATTTTCATTCATTTTGATGGCATGTGCCTGTCCTGACCTCCTCCTGTTGCTCCTGCAGAGCGTTGGTGTGAACGTTTTGGAGACCTGCAGGGGGAGCTGCTGTGCGTGGAGTTGGAGAAGGAGCGACGGGGTTTGGGTCTCAGCCTAGCAGGAAACAGGGATCGGTCCCGCCTCAGCATCTTTGTTGTGGGTCTCCATCCTGGGGGGGCAGCCGCTCGCGATGGACGCATCCGTGTAGGAGACGAGCTGCTGGAGGTGAGGAAGCTTCGTTGTTTATTTCCCTTGAAAACTTTATAAAAACTAGATTATAAGTTCAGCTCAGATTCAATAAACCCAAGAGTTTTCAGAGGAGGACTGATCCAGGGAAACGTCCACAAAACCGGTTCACCAAAGCTGAGCTTTGGTTCCATATCCTGGATTCTATAAACCTGACCCTCATTATCAGAAAAAAGTTATACCGTATTTTTCGCTGTATAAGTCACAGTTTTTGCATAAATTAGCACGTCCTACGACTTATAGTGAAGCAACGTATTATTATTTTTCCCCCATCCCAATTTTTGTCTGAGATCTGACAATTTAATTCATTCTGACGTGGAAAATATCGAACACTACCATTTTCAGCCACTAGAGGGTGCTGGCTTGCCATACCAAGCCACCTTTGTCTCGCAGCAGAACTCCTGGAGCAAACATCAAATCAGCTGCATTTCGCCGCCGCCCAGTTTCCCCGAATCGTCTTTTGAAATGCAGCTGATTTGACCGTCAAAAAGGAAAAGTTCGACTGAGACACACCTTTACTATAATTTCAAGCAAAAAAAACAATTGTTTTTAAGTGTTAATTGTTAAATTCTTGTTAAGGTCCTCCCGTACACGCTCCCACGACCGCCATTTGGAAGCCAATCGATTTTTGGCACAACACCGGCCCACATTTCCGGGTTGCCAGTGGTGTCGCATAATAGATGCAACTTATACGGTGAAGCGACGTATTTGTTTTTTTTTTTTCCACTTTATTAGACATCAACATCAACGAGGACCCTCATCAGTATGCATACCCCGAGAATTGATCAACAGAGGACACCATCTCCTCTGTGGTCCACACTGCTCTCACCCACCTGGAGCAGAAGGACTCCTACGTCCTTATGCTCTTTGTGGACTTCACGTCTGTCTTCAACACCATGATCCCCCAAACCCTGATGGACAAACTACTCACACTAGGACTAAGTTCCTCCATTTGCAACTGGATCCTGGACTTCTTAACAAACAGACCACAGTCAGTGAGGATCCACAACTTCTCCTCCTCCACCGTAACGCTCAGCACTGGCTCTCCTCAGGGATGTGTGTTGAGCCCCCTCCTGTTTACTCTGCTCACGTATGATTGTGCAGCTACCCATCCAGGCTGTCACATTGTAAAGTTTGCAGATGATACAGTGGTGGTGGGATGCATCACAAACAATGATGAGTCCAGCTACAGGCAAGAGGTGGAACACCTGGAGAGCTGGTGCAGAGAGAATAACCTTCACATCAATGTGAAGAAGACAAAGGAGATGATTGTGGACTTCAGAAGGAACAAAAACATCTACACCCCCTTGAACATAAGAGGATCTGTGGTGGAAGTGGTCTCCAGCTACAAGTACTTGGGTGTACACATGAATGACAACCTCAGCTGGAGCAACAACACCACCAGCCTGATGAAGAAAGATCATCAGAGACTCTACTTCCTCAGGCGGCTGAGGCGAGCTGGTCTGGAAGCTCAGTCCTCACCTCCTTCTACAGGTGTGCAGTGGAGAGCATCCTGTGCTCCAGCATCAACGTGTGGCATGGAGGCTGCACAGCTTCAGAAAGAAAAGCTTTGCAGAGAGTGGTGAAGGCTGCACAGAAGATGTTGGAGTCAGCCTCCCCACCATCACAGACATCTACACCTCCAGATGCAAGAAGAGGACCACCTGCATCATGAAGGACCACACTCACCCAGCACACACACTTTTTGCCCCACTCCCCTCAGGAAGGAGGTTGAGGAGCATTAAGTGTAGAACCACTAGACTGAGGAACAGCTTCTACCCTGAGGCTGTTAGACTCATGAATCTCTAACCAGGAGAATCACTGTGAAAAATCACATCATGTTGCTGCTGATCTGTTTCATGCTGCTGCTGATCTGTTTCATGTTGCTGCTGATCTGTTTCATGTTGCTGCTGATCTGTTTCATGCTGCTGCTGATCTGTTTCATGTTGCTGCTGATTTGTTTCATGCTGCTGCTGCTGATCTGTTTCATGCTGCTGCTGATCTGTTTCATGCTGCTGCTGATCTGTTTCATGCTGCTGCTGATCTGTTTCATGTTGCTCTGTTCATTCGTCCTATCTGCTCACACAGACTCATGTTCGTGCTGCTGTTCGACGTATTGTTTTTATTGTTTTTGTAATACTAGTTCTTAGTATATTTTTATTAATGTTTTTCTTAGTTCATGTCTTTGATCTTATCACTGTTTTTCTTTTACATTTTAATAGTTTTGTTTGATGTAACTGGGACACTTTGTACACAATTTTGTTCCACCACATGTTCCACATGTGACGTGAATGACAAATAAAGAACCTTGAATCTTGAATATTTGGACTGATGTGACTAATACGGCAGTGCAACATGTACGGCGGCAAGTACGGTACGCCAGTGGTTCTGATGGGTCCTTCTGTTTTAGTTTCCCAGCACCGCTCTTGAAACATTGATCGCAGTCGTGGTACCTCTTGTAGGCTATTGATCACGACAACACTCTCAAGTTCATTTATTGCAGCAACGCTATCGAGTCTTGAATTTCTCAGATTCCTCAGGTTGTCGACCTCTGTGGCACTCTTGGTTGTCTTGAGTCATTGATAATGATTTGTTGATCGTTAATCTCAGTGATGCTCTTCAGTTGTCTATCTCAGCGACCCTTAGGTTGTCGATCACAGCACCTTATCTGGGTCATCAGTCACAGCTTCTACCTTGGGTTATCTTGGGTCACAAATAGCAACACCCTCATCCTTTGGTCATCAATTGCAACAATGCTCATGATGCATAGATCATAACAGAGCTCTTTGTTCGTCAAATTCACCAACGCTCATGATTCATTGATCGCAGTGACAGCCTTGGCTCGTCAATCGCATCAGTGCTGTTGCATTGTCTATCACAGTAACTTTCTTGAGTTGTCAATCACATAAACACTGATGTGTCATCTGTCATGGTGACGCCTTTAGGTGTTTGATCACCGCAACACTCTTGCAATGTTTCTCCTACTGTTATACAAGGGGGCAGTCCGTCCCGTCAACAGAACCGAGCGCCCTGCCTACTGAAATGTGCTTCACCCCCGTCAACAGCTGCTGGCACTGACATAGCACTAAGCTAGCAACACGCAATACAGACATGTGCAGTGAACTAGGCCTCGGACAACAATCTGTCTCTGAAGACCTTCAGGGGACTGGAACTGCTATTTCATTGATTTGAATCCAGAAATACAAATTATCTCATCAAGAGACTATTTAATTGTATCCTGAATTAATCAGTTGAAAGAACACTCTTCTTTTTACATTATCATTATTATTTTAGAATATCTTGATAATCAAAGTGTGTTTAGTTCAAACCATTTCTAAATGTTGAAGTGAACCACTCACTTAAATCAACTGTGAAACAGTGTTAATGATTTTTAAACCTCATTAGACTTTGATAATCAAGTTAAATGTCTATTTACAAAGTAAGTGTGCATTTTAGTCTTCTGTCTGAATGAGGAGTAGTGATGTCGGTCGAAAGTCAGAGACAAACAGAGACGAGTTATTAGAACGAAGTGTCTTGTTTTTAAAACTCGCAGACAGTAAATAACTTCAACTGGCACCTGCGTTTGTCTCACTTCGTCACAACATTTCTCTGTCTGTACTAACCGTTCGTAAACATTCCTGCTGTCTCGACTTCTAGTGACCCTCTTGACATCACTAGAACCACCCCCTGCTGGTTGGTTCAATCAGGAAGTGCCACGTAACAGGAAGTGTATACCCCTTTAAAAGGAACACTTCGTGGAACTATTCAGTTCGGTCTTGGAACTCAGTTCGGTCCTGGAGTTCGGTCCTGAAGTGCAGTCCTGGAGTTCAGTGCTGGAACTCAGTCGGAGTCTTAAGTCTTAGGGCTAAGTCTTCAGTCTTAGTCTTCATGAGTCTTAGTCTTTTCCAGTCTTGCTGGAACTTTCGGTCAGAGATGAGACTCACTTAAGCAGCGGATGGATGGGACCATGTGCCAAGGGGTCCCTCCATTTAGCGGAGTCACAGCTCACATCGCTGTGCACTCAACCCGAGCAGTAAATGCTCCACTTCTAAGGAAGCTTATTCGGTGGAACCGAGTACTTCGCATTTATTCTGATGACCCCCAGCTACTTTAACCGGAGACGCTGGAAAAGGAGCATACTAATGGACTTCTGTTCCGGAGTGGAGGTGTCCCCCATCTAAGGTAACAAAGTCGCTGCACGTCCTGAAGTGTACCGGAAAGCTGAGCGGGATGTCGGAGGAAGGGTGCAATGTTCTGGTGTCACACATAGCTTCCATCTAAACCTCCTTTTAAATGTTTAAACTTCTATTTCTCCTCTGTTTAACTTTTCTATTAGCCAGTAAATCAAACGAGATGCCTTCAGAGGTGGATCAGCCTCGATCAGTAATGTTCTGTTGTCTTGTTAGTAAAGCGTGCCAAGTTTATTAATCAGAAACAGATCAGCAAATCAATGTGCACATGTTTTGATGTTAAATTCTGATTCTGTTAAATAAATGACCGCATTTATTCTGATGGGTCAAAGATAAAATGGCGTCTCATGTCACTGATTAAACATCCACTCAGAGTTATCTCGGTCACATGGCAGAAATTTAACTCGAAAAAGAAAAGAATCCGTTGTAATTAAACAATTAATATTCTTTGTGCTTGAACTAGCTTTAAGAATAACTAATTAGTAGTGTGTCCACAGCACAGCTGTCCTGACATACTACACATGCTAGCCCAAAAGCTACAGACGTTGCTTCTCTCATGCGTCCTCCTACACACCCCACTCCCTGTTGTCAGAACTCCTCGAAGAGATGAGCGCTCTGCCAAGGAACTGACCTAGGGGAAACACTGCCTTGGGTTCGTTGATAGGTTCGCAGTAACACTATTGTGTCTTCATTCTCGCAGACATCCTTGGATTGTCTGCCTCAGCCGTGCTCTTGAGGTTCTGTTTGCAGGGGGGGTTTCTATGGTTGTTGATAAGAGTGACTCTCTTAGGTCTGCGATCGCAGCGACACTCGTGGGTCATTGGTTCTTTCATCTGCACTTATTTAAGTAAATGACCTGTCTTTTCTCCCATCAGATCAACAACCAGATCCTTTATGGGCGGAGTCACCAGAACGCTTCAGCCATCATCAAAAGCTCCGCCTCCAAGGTCAAACTCATCCTTCTCAGGTAAAAACTGCAAGGCATGCTGGGAAAGTGTCATTTTAAAAACGCGTTTGCATTTAACCAAATCTGCAGAGTTCTTTTTAAACGGTTTTCTGTTTTTCAAAAGTTAAATGACTTAAAACTCAGTGTGGGTTAGAGATTTTAAATAAATAAATCTAATAGATTTTGGTCCAGCTTTTCCTGTCAAGGAGTGTCTCATCTAAATAAATCTGGTTTGAAACTGGTTTGGATTTGGTCTTAATTAAAACTAACCTGGATCTTGTTTTGGACTAGATTAGATGTAGATCTGGACTGTGTATTTAGAATCTTACAGAGTTCTGGTTTTCCAAACAATTTGTCCTCCTGGTGTCTCTGATGGACTTTGTCCCTGCTGGAGGACGCAGCCGCCTTCGGCACGTTTAGCCAGTTCACTGAATCTAGTTAAATTTGTGTCCACTGGATGCTGCTGAATGATTTATGTCCCGTAACGGTCCCCACGGTGATGAGTAAATGGACATTAAATGGGCAGGTTTCTTGGAGCCCATCACCATGGAAACAAGGTGTCACCTTGCCGGGTCTGGACGGACCTCTGTGATATCTGTCTCTCCTCTCAAGAAATTGCCTGTGCTGTCTGTTTCCCATAGAGACCTGGTCCTGGTTCTGGTCCTGTCTGGATCTGTTCTAACCCTAACCCCTCAGGCTCTGATCATCAAACCAATGGGGGGTAAAGTTAAAGACACAGACCCCAAGCTCAGTTAGGCTCTCTGCTAAACTGGTCCAACTCTTGATCAAACTAGGATTCCACAGTCCAGATCCAGACCTGGATCCATCTGTAGCTTTGTGAACAAGGAGGACTTGTGTGGACTTGTTGAATCTTCAGAGAAGACTCTGAGGGTTTTATTGTTGGATGGACTGTAGACCCATCTTCAGGATTTTAGGTTCTGGAGAAGTTCACCTGGTTCTCCTTTCAGAGACAGATACAGAAACACGCCATTCAGGAAGAGACACACTGCTTCCTGTTTGTCCCTCACTGTCTTTTGCTTCCTGTCTTTGCAGAAATGAAGATGCTATAAACCAGATGGCTGTCCCCCCACTAACAAGTCCCCCTCCTCCACCCCCCACCCTGAGCCCCGTCAGCCCTGAGGTAACCTCACACTCTAGCCCTCATCTTCATCACTGCAGGCCACTCATTACATCACATATTCTGTAAACTTGTGCATAGAAATACTTTGCTGTGTGTGTACAGGATACTCAGTACTCAGTGTGTGTACAGGATACTCA